CCTCCTCTGGACTGGTTCTAACTGGTCCATGTCTTTTTTATGTTGGGGGCTCCAGAACTGGATGCAGTACTCCAGGTGGGGCCTTACAAGAGCGGAGTAGAGGGGCAGAATCACCTCCCTCGACCTGCTGGACACGCTGCTCTTGATGCAGCCCAGGATACGGTCACCTCTCCAGGTCACACAGTGTCCAGGCAGCAAAGGATCTCTGGGGTTTTAGCCTTTTTTTTTAGGCTGTGAATCTGAAAACTGCTGCAGAATTATTGCAGTTCTGTCCTGCGTGACCATGCGACCTGCTCTGCCTCCTTGCACCCCGATTTCTCCCATGGCAAGGGGGGGTCTGAGATTCTTCTTCTCTCCCTCAAGGCAGAAGAGTGAAACTCACTTGTGTTTTGGAAGTGCAGGGTGGGAGCCTTCGACAGAAGGCATCTGTTTGGCCAGTCGATGGGGTTTGTAAAAGGGACACAGACACCAGCTTGAAAACTAAACCAAATTTATTTTACTTTAGTTAAAAGCGGGGGGGCGGGCGGGGGGGGGGGGGGGATAAGCAAGGTACAAAGATAAACAGGGGATTGCACCTGATCATCACTACATAGATCAACCAGAGTGATGAAGAGAGATCCATCACCAGTTGCCCAAACACTTCACCATCATCCAGATCCCTGTTTCAGCTGGGGAGCTCTGTGCACAGCGAAGGATTTGGAGACCCTTTCCCAGCAGCTGGGCAGTCCCACGCTCCTAGGTGAGGTCTCCATCTTCCCTGTGAGAGAGTCCTGCTTCTACACCATCTGACAGACAAATCATGTAGAGAGAAAGGCACAGGAACATCTGATGGGTTGGCTTCACTTCACTTGGGCGCATCCCAGGTCTGGCCAGGATCTGAGACATATCCAGGAAGCTCTTGTTTTGGTAGAAAGCATCTGGCTTTGGATTCTAGGAGGAAATGTTTCATGATTGTATTTCATAGAGTCATAGAATGGTTTGGGTTGGAAGGGACCTTAAAGCTCATCAAGTCCCAACCCCCCTGCCATCAGCAGGGACACCTTCCACTAGACCAGGTTGCTCAAAGCCTCATCCAACCTGGCTTTGGTTGTATCACATCATGTTTGTGTGATACAGGTTGGGAAGTTCACTCAAAAGTCAACTCTAGTTTGAGGCTCATGGTTTAAACCTTTGTATATCAGCAGCACGAAAAGACAAACAGCCCCTGTGCAGCGAGCTTGACATTGAGTCCAACGGGAGCAGAGGGTCAGAGAATCATCAAATGTGAGCTGGACCCACAAGGGTGATGGAGTCCAACTCCTGTCCCTGCACAGGACAATCCCAACATTCACACCATGTCCCTGAGGGCCTTGGCCAAATGCTGCTGGAATCTTGTCCAGCTTGGTGCCATGAGCACCTCCCTGGGGAGCCTGTTCCAGTGCTCCACCACCCTCTG